TCATGAGCCCAGGTCCGAGCAGACCCGTTTCGATCGACAGGAGGGCGCGTCGGATTTGGTCCGTGAAGATCGGGCTCGACCGAACCGGCCCGCGCAGGTCGAGTCGCGCACGATCCGACCAGCCCTCACGAGCCCAGGTCCGAGCAGACCCGTTTCGATCGACAGGAGGGCGCGTCAGATCTGGTCCGTGAAGATCGGGCTCGACCGAACCGGCCCGCGCAGGTCGAGTCGCGCACGATCCGACCAGCCCTCACGAGCCCAGGTCCGAGCAGACCCGTTTCGATCGACAGGAGGGCGCGTCGGATCTGGTCCGTGAAGATCGGGCTCGACCGAACCGGCCCGCGCAGGTCGGGCTCGCTTGAGTCGAGCTCGATCCGACCAGCCCTCATGAGCCCAGGTCCGAGCAGACCCGTTTCGATCGACAGGAGGGCGCGTCGGATTTGGTCCGTGAAGATCGGGCTCGACCGAACCGGCCCGCGCAGGTCGAGTCGCGCACGATCCGACCAGCCCTCACGAGCCCAGGTCCGAGCAGACCCGTTTCGATCGACAGGAGGGCGCGTCAGATCTGGTCCGTGAAGATCGGGCTCGACCGAACCGGCCCGCGCAGGTCGAGTCGCGCACGATCCGACCAGCCCTCACGAGCCCAGGTCCGAGCAGACCCGTTTCGATCGACAGGAGGGCGCGTCGGATCTGGTCCGTGAAGATCGGGCTCGACCGAACCGGCCCGCGCAGGTCGGGCTCGCTTGAGTCGAGCTCGATCCGACCAGCCCTCATGAGCCCAGGTCCGAGCAGACCCGTTTCGATCGACAGGAGGGCGCGTCGGATTTGGTCCGTGAAGATCGGGCTGTATTGAATCCAGTCACACACTAATCCGCCGTGATCGATTCGAGTTCAATCAGAGTAAGCTCGTTCAGATTACCTCACAATACAAATTTGGTGTTTGAATTTCAGAGCTGGAAGCAAAGCTGTACATTCCCGACATCGAGATCACTACAACACGCAAAATGCCTTTACAAGTGCAAAAAAAACGCACAAAAAACGAAAATCACGGAGAACCACCGAGGATAACTTGAAATGATTTCAAATGTTCATTTCGAATCAAGACATCTAAAACGGCAGTCAAACATCAAACAAAGCTAAAAACAATCACAGGTACAAATCATCACAGCACGAACACGAAGAACACCACGACACGCTCCCATGCGACAAGACACAACGCCAGATTGAGCAAACAACCGACCACAGACCAAAAAGACATTACCACGAAAAACTCCACAAAAAAACAGCAAAAATGTCAGGGCCAGTTTTGGGTTGCGAGGAAGCGTTCTTGAGAGGGGTTTGAACGACGTCCGTTAGTACGGAGCAAAGGTTTTGTTGGTGTCTTGAGGTCAATTGAATCAGCTGCGGTCGGCAAGCATACACAGTAACCAGACCAGGTGCACCGTTAAAATAACTGTAGAGTCGCTCAATCCCGAGGATAGGAAAGTGCAACCTGTGCCCAACCGCAGGTGTCACAACGAAGAGAAACAACGGTAGCCGCGAGCTTATCGTCTCAAGGCAGCTGCTCAGGGGTTGTGCGTTGTTTACTCATGTGACCCCCATGAAAGGGATCCGACCCACTCGTTTGTGAGGGCGAAAAGCGATTATAATTCATTGCCCCAAAGTGCAGCTCGAGATAAAAGTCAGGGGTGATCAATATCGAATTAAACATATGGGTCCGTTGGTCACAACCAACTCCGGCATTGAGCTAAGGACGACGCTCCATCGTCCCACTAACCATAATTGCTGCTATTTATTCACAATGACGTTGACAACAACAACAACAATAAAACCAACAAAGGGGCACACGTCCTTGTTCATGCCGCAGGCTGGTCGGTACTATACTATGCTATGCGCTAGGATGTGACAGTCATTGAGCGTTGCCGCATTGAGCGCTGTCGCGACTGTCGCAAAGAACCGACAACCGCTTGTCCCTAAGAACATCGTCACAACAATGATGGAAAAGCGGCAAGCGGGTGAGATGTACCTGCAAAATACACGAGTAGACAGATTGCCCATGCCAACTCAAGAGGAAAAAAAAAAAAAAAGCAACATCAAGGGCCGAGACTAACTTGGGCATTGGACTTGCTAATATCTTCCAACAAGTGCGGCGCCTTCTCGACTACCACACTGGTTACGGCATCGACATACTGACGCAGGCGCTCCGTCTCTTCATCACGATCCAAAAGAAGATCAAGAACTTCTGCTTTGCTCTTGCTCTCGATCACATCCCACAGCTGCAAAACGCCCCCAAAAGCACGCTAAATGAGGGCGAGTGCGCACAGTGACAGATCTAAAACTTCCCAACCACATCCACAATCTCACCTCGTTGGATGCTTGGACTGGTCGCGTCTGAGCTCGACGTTTCACCTGTTCCTCGTCCTGTGAGGACGACCACTGGTCCCGTACGATACCCACTACATGCTCACGCTCGGCTTGCATGGCAAGCAGCATCGTCTCTTTGGAATCAACGTCCTCCTCCAATTGCTCAATTTGGGCCTTGAGCTGATTGTTGAGTGTTCTCAGTTCGTCATTCTGGGTTTCGAGCGTGGTCACTCGCTGGCCCATGATGCGCTGATACTCCTCCTTCTGCTTGGCAAACTTTTCCGCGCCACCCTCCGTCTGTGATTTGAGAGTTGCATGGGCCACCTTGAGGTTATTCAAAGACGCGCGGGTTTGGGCTAGCTCTTGAGTTGTTGCTGCCAAGTTGCTATCTAAACTGGTCACGGTGGCAGCCATGGCTGCTTCCGCATTATCTTTGCCTTGCTCAGCTAGCTTGCTGCGTTCCTGTGCATCCTGCAACGCGCTTTCAAGGGCAAATATTTTTTGCTGGCATGCCTCGAGCTGCATCATCACATTAGTCTTCTGATCAACTTCCTTCTGCAGCTGACGCTGTACATCAGCCAACGTCTTTTGTGCCGCCTTCACGTCCGCCTGGGCCGTCGCCGTTTCAGCAGCGCTGATTCGTGCTGCTCCCTTTACCTCGGCCTTGGCCTGACGCAACTGCTTCTTCAGTTCCAGCACCTCGGCTTGGTGCTGGGTGCGCAGCTCGCTCATTTGCTCACGCAACGCCCTCTCCTTCTTGGTTACCACGACAGGGCCTTGTCCGTCTTGCCCTCCCGAGCTGTGCGCCAGCTGCTGCTCGAGCTCCAAGTTGCGCTCGCGCAGCTCTGCAAGAGCCGCATTCAATCCCCCGAGGGCGTCTTCTGTCGCAGATGTGGAAGCCTTGAGCATGTCCATGGACTTTGACTTGTTGTGTAACTCCGATTCCAATCGCTTGTTCTTTTTCTGCAAGTCGCGCAGCTGGGCCTTGCTCTCGTCCAGCTCAGCAGTGACCGCTGCGTTGGAGCTGGCTGCAACTGTTTGTTGTTGTGCCGCAAGTTCCGTGCGCAACGCCTCAACCTCAGCCTCACGCTGCTCGAGTTCGCCCTCGAGGCCCGCCAGCTCAACCTTGTAGCGCTCCAGCTCGAGGGCAGTGATATCGCTTTGGGCCCGCAAGTCCTGCACATGAGCCGCAAAATCCATGTCACCCAGATCCGACTCACGATCGCTTGAGGCATCGCTGGGCCCACCTTGGCTACCAGCCAATGGCCCACGCAGCTGAGATGCGATGCTCCGACGCTCGGTCGCAAAGCGGTCTAGCTTGTCTCGTTGCTGATCATTTTGCTCCAGCAAGGATCGATGTCGGCGCCGAAGCCCTTCTGCCTCGCGATCTTTCGCCTTGAGCTTTGCCTGCAAAGTCACCAATTCTTGACGCAGTTGGTGCTCCATCTCGGGGGTGCTTGACGGCACTTCAGTCACAGCAGCGCCACCATCTGCCATGGGTACGCCAAACCGATCGGCCAAGCCGGGGCGCGATACAATCAGTCGAAGCATGTCCCCAGGCGCCTCCCGAAACGTGCGCAAGAGCGCTTGCTTGGTTCGTCCAAGAACATTCTCATCACCCACGGCAACAATCTGGTCACCAGGCTGTAAGCCGGCTTCGGCAGCCGGCGTATCAGCAACCACAGACTTGATTTCTACGACACCGGAGCGTTTGGTACCGCCATTATCACCAGCAGTCTTGAGCTCTTTGAGCACCATGCCCAGCGAGTCTTGCGTCTTGTTCAAGGTGAAAGCCAATAGCATGCCATGCTCCACAATTGAGTACAACAGCGGGGCCGGCATCAGCTCATCCTGGCCACGCTTAGATCGAAAGGATGCGATCGCGCCAGTTCGCTCCTGCTTGACTCGGAGATTGGTCAGATCAGCTTCCAGATTTATCAAGCGTTCCTGTGCCAAAGCAGCGCCACATGAGTATAACGCATCTACAGTAAGTTCACAAAGATGACAGCCACAAGGTGCCCTGGACGCTGCATGATTTACTCGAAAGCAAGGTCTCGCGGTCGATGCCTCCCAGCCTGACCTTGAGTGATTGACATTCTGCGCTCAATTCCTCGACTAACTCGCCATCCGTCTCGTCGTTGACTTGTGCTACCAAAACCTGCACGAGACGGGTGTGAAGGGCCGCTTCCACATCGCGAAGCTGCTGCAATTGCTCGGAGCGCCAATCAATGGCCTCCTGCAAGGCTTTCAGCATGGCGGCAAGGTCTTCATCATAGTCATCAGCATCCTGAACACGTTGAAAGCAGACACGCTCGAGTTCCTTGCGCGCCTCCTCCTCTCCCGCCAAACGCTGCACGAGGCGCTCTCGTTCTTGATCCCAGAGATCCTGCAGCTGGGCTATAGCTGCCATGCTCGCCTGGTCCATGCTGCCACGCCCTTCTGTGTTGTCGGGCTCAGACACGTCTGAAGCCTGGAGGAGCTTGGTATTGGTTAGTTGCAGTTTGAGCCGCTCAATCTAGTGGCAGCCCGTGCAAGCCATCGTTATACAGAGTCAATGAATGTGGCCTTGGCTAGATTCCACACCCACTCGCACGCCAAGTCCAGCCAGAGGCAGTGGCGCAGAACACAAAAAACCAAAAACAAACAAAGACTTTCCGCTGATCAATGAGATGGACTGCACATTTGCCATCACGCGTGAAATAAACAAAAGAGTTCTTTCGAGCAGCCCCATGCGCTCACCTCGTCGCTGGCCTCGGCGATCAGCTCTTCCTGCTGTTCGAGCTTTTGCTGTGTCACTTCCGCGTCCAAGGTGGCGGTGCGGGACTACAGATGTAGATTAGACACACACACACACACAAAAAAAAAAAAAAAAAAAAAAAAAAAAAAAAGAAAGAACGTGAGGCGAATGGCGCCTTGAACCCCACAATCAACCCAAAGGATGGCAGCATGCAAGTCACACGATGAGGCGACGACAAAGCAAACCTTTAAAAGTTGTAGCTCTCGAGCAGCCTCTGATGCTCGGAGCAGCTGACTACGCAGCGACGCAGCTTCTGCGGCTAAATCGTTCCGCTCGGCCAAAACCTGGCCTAAATTCAAAGGCCCTTCTTTCTGTCTCTGCATGGTGCAATGCCAGTCCAAACATTTCGGCGAGGAAGCAAGCAATATTTTGATGAGCATCGCCGTTACACATTCATGACAAGCCAATATTGAGGTATGGGTAGACTGGACATACCCCATCTGCAAGTGAGCCCTTATTGCTTTCCACGAGATCAAAATACCATACGCCACCAGCATCCGTGCGGCCCACGTGCGCTTGCAAGATGTCAGCGATGAGGTCCGAAGCTGAGAGATGTTGTGAATCGGCACCATTCAGGACGAGATGCAGAAGAAAGCCGTCCGTGGTGGCCATAACACCCATGCGGGCCAGAATGGCTGCCACAACATTTTGCACGGTTGCTCCATTGGCGGCGTGAACAGTTAAGAACACGCTGTTGATGCCAGTGCCGTGAGCTCGCACCAAGAGGGCCTGCACGCCCGCGACGGGCAAGCGTTGCCGCAGCTCTAGCCATGAATAGCTGCGCGTCATGTGATGCCGGGCCATGAGACGGAGAACCGACTGCAGCGAATCTAGGCGAGGACGGCCGTCCGCTTCCCAATCTTCGGTCTCCACGTCGTCGGGCCCGACGGGCTCGTGAGGTATCAGGCTGCCCACGACTTGGGGTGGGGCTATTGGGCGCTCCCCGTTTGGGGTGATAAGAATGAGTTCGTAGTGGTGAAAGTGACCCGGCTCAAGTCTAAGCCGACGCAGTACGGCTATCAGCATGTCGGGCAGAGTCATGGCATCGTTGATAACAACGGCGGCCTGCGCAAGTTGTTCACCGACCCGGGCGGTGCGCACCCGAACCAAGCGATCGCGGCCCAGGGGCTCAACGGCAGGG